TTCCGGGGTGCCTCCAGTCTCAGTCAAACCATTAAGTCTGGTCTTTTTACTAGAATTTGAGTTCTGTACCCCACTTTTCTCCTGCTCCGTCAGGGACTTTCTTTTGTGTTCCCTGTCAGGGCGGTCATTGGTGGTAGCCGGGCACCATCTAGTTCTTCTGGTCTCAGGCTGATAGAATCTCTGGTTTATGTGGCCCTTTCTGTCTCTTGGGCTAATATTTTCCTTGTGTCTTTGGTGTTCTTCATTCTCCTTTACTCTAGGTGGGTTGGGATCAATTGATGCATCTTAGATGGCCGCTTGCTAGCTTTTAAGACCCCAGATGCCACTCACCAAAGTGGGATGCAGAACATTTTCTTAATAAACTTTTTTATGCCAGTTGACCTAGATGTCCCCTGAGAGCATGGTCTCCAGACCCCTGCCCCTGCTACTCTGTCCCTTGAAGTGTTTGGTTGTTAGTCAGGAAACTTCTTAGCTTTTGGTTTAGTGCAATTGTGCTGACTTCCTAGCTGGGAATATTTTTAATGAGTTTCTTTTTCCCCCTTCTCTTTCTTTCCTGGGACTTCATTTTCCCACTCTTAGATCACATTACATCTTTGTCCCTGACCAGTCTATCAGTGATTGTTACCAAGGACTTTTTATAATTCTAGAAAACATAAGAGACAACCATTCTATTTTAGGCTTTATTACTCAGTTCCTTTTCTTTAAGCGCAGTGGGAGGGGAAGCAGGCATGTCAACCAAAAGATGGCTCCTGGGATTGTGGCATCAGTCATAATCTTCCAAGTGTGGGTATGAGGGAGTAGACTTTAGGGGGGTTCAGCAGCATTGGCTCCTGAAAGGCAAAGCCCATAGTTCGAGGTGTACCGTTCCTTTAATATTTTGATTATGTCATCCCCTGAGGCATTCCTTGGCCTGTAAATGCTGAAATTGAGAGGGATCCCAGCCCGGAACATTGTCTCCTTAGATTCATCACACTAGCCAGAGCAGTTTCCAGGCCCTGCTCTAGTCTCTTGCAACAAAATTCCCTCTAATTACTGCTTTTTATGCACTCTGACACTTCCAAAGATGGATTCCAAACCCTAAGCTTTTTCTGGCATAAATTGGCTGCCTGCTTTCAAATGTGGCTCATGTACTTGACCAGATTAGTCAGAGAACAGGGTCTTAACCCCTCTGGGCTCCATGGAGTGGGGATGCAGTGTGTGGCGACAGCTCAGCCTGCTGAGAAAGGCACTCGTCTTTCCTGTGGCATCTGCAAGTCTGCACTCCTCTCAGGCTGAACTGTAGGTTTTTTTCCATTCCTGCAGAGAATGGAAAAGCTCCCTTGCACTGCCGTCCGAGAGGCAACTGTAAGACCTCGTACCAGCATGAGAAGACTTGGAACAGAGAAAGGACACAAGGAGATAGCACCCTCAGCAGATCAGCCAGGCGTAGGTGGTCTTTCACAGTGAAGGAGCAAGCCTTGCACATGAGTTTGTTTTAAATCTGTGCTCTGCGATGACAACTTTCCAAAACGATTCATCTCTCCCCAATTCCCCTTTCTCCTCTTTTAATTTTCTGTATATAAAAATTCGGCCGAATATGATTTCTGCATCATCAGTCTCCTCTGGCCCTCTGCAGAGGGATATGCAAAATAGATACTGCAGAAAAAGCAGCAGCCAGTGCCAGTGCACTGGGTGGCGGTTTAAGTTTGTGAATCAATTCTTCGTGCCTGTGAAAGGAAGAGTGTCTTCAGAAGTTCAGTGCTGTAAGAATATCAGCAGCCGACCCTGCAGCTCTGTTGCTTTTTGAAGTCCTCCCAAAAGGAAGCTCCCCCTCTCCTCCTGGTCAGCTGTATACAGCGTGGATCTGTCACCTGCAGGTGTGTCCTGGGAATTTAGGGCCCCCACTGGTTGTGTTGTGTGCCTACAGATAAGGGGAAAGCCCCTGGACAGCAGCTTCCCCTGTGGGAGGTAGCAGCTTAGCTGTGTCTTGACCTCACTTATGAAAGAATTTCTGGGTAGCTCTGAGGTTAGACACCTAAGTTATTGTTTTATTTGTTTTTACTTCCTTCTAGATTTAACATTGGAGGGGCTTATATGTTAATTTCTATAACTCTTTGAGACCTGTGATTTTTAGCCCCCTTTACCTCCAGTTATCCCTCTGTTGAGACTAGACTCTTAACTTTGAGAAAGAGGATGCTTTTATATTTTGGGTACCTCCACCTGTTATGCTCCCATATCTGTGACTTCTGAAACCATATGCTGCTTCTTGTGTGGCAGAAATCCCATTGTCTTACCTGTTCATTCTTAGAGCTCCAAAAAGAAACTCTTAAGTTGATGAGGTTTCACTGAGAAAATGACTTTGTGTCTTAAATTTTTTTATTTTTTTTTATTTTAAGTAAATTCGTGTTGGAAACAAATGCTAAATAGTTATATAACAGAGCTGTCCAAAGTCAGGTGGAGGCTCCCCAGATTTTCAGTGGCCCTTTTTCATTTCTTTCAACAACTGTTAATTGAGCGCTAGCCATGTGCCAAGCCCTCGGCCAGGCATGAAGGGGAAGGGGGAGTGGAGCTGTGAACCAGGCCAGTGCAGATCTTCACTTTGTGAACACATCCCTGACTCACACTGTGAGGACTGCCAAGGCAGAATTCCCCACCTGGGGGCTCAATTGTCAGACACAGCTTCTCTTCTGCTCTTTCTCAGAGCTCCCATAGAAAAGTGCCATTGTCCCGTTTCAACTTTGCAAAGCACAAGGAGAGTAGAACTGTGTCTTTATACTGTTCTGTCAGTGAGTTCTCTATTCTAACTGGATCCACAGAGGATTTAAGGCAACTCAGAGTCTGTATATATTCGTTTCCCACTGATGACTGGAACAGAATCCGTGGGCATCTCTCAGCTTGGGAGCATCTCAATGGCATCTTGCCGTAACTGCAAGCTTAAGCTGGAAAAATACAGTTGGGCTGGAGAGGAGCATTGTCGGCTTCATTTCCAGACACCTTTGAAATGAGCCCTTCCATCCATTGCACCAGTAACCTCATGTCACCACCATGCAGTATGGAACTGAAAGAACATGCTGATGAGTTATGTTTGAGTCCGTTCCATAGAGGCAATAGAAGGGACAAAGTGGAATGAGTTTTCTTCATTCAAATTTCTCGTTTTGGGATTCTGTGGTTTTCTGTAACATGTGAAGCTTCTGGAAGGTTGTGAGGTTTTTGGGCTGAGTTCTTAGCCACTGTCAGGGTTCTTTCCTCCCCTATCAGATGGCAGAAGCAGGATTCCTTTGTCCATAGAGCGCAGGCTCTGAGCTCAGATAGACCCAAGATGGTAGCCCAGCCACCATAAGCCTTGTGACCTGGGGCAAGTTACTTAACATCCCTGAGCCTCAGTTGCCTCATCTGTAAAACAGAGTTAAAAGCAGTTACCTCATTCATAGGATTAAAGATTATGGATTAAATGAGATAATGTCTATAAATCTGACTTTAATAGGGACACCGAAAATGATAGCGTCTTAATAACTGTTTGAACAGTGCCAGGAGCCTCTGCCGTGTGTCCAGGGTGCTTGGCTCGCACATGGCATCTTTTATCTGTCATCTGTTGACAAGGAGGAACTATTGCGGCACATCCAAAAAGAAATCTGTTGCCACTGCGTTGATTCTGACTTGTGGCGACCCCATGTGTTACAGAGTAGAACTGTGCTCCATAGGATTTTCTTGGCTGTAATCTTTACAGAAGCAGATCTCCAGGCCTTTCTTCTGCAATACCACTGGGTGGATTCAAACTGCCAACCTTTAGGTTAGCAGTCCAGTGCAAACTGTTTGTGCCACCTAGGGATCTGTTGAGATACATGGTAGATGCTCGTTGAATGAACGAGTGAGCCTTGGTACACTCTTTGTCCGGTTGCCTTAGAACAGCACTTCACACTGTGAATTCTGCAGTGGCAGACGCCATGAGGGATGTTGTGAGAAGGCTGATCAGATAGGTTTGGGAAATGCTTTAGAGTCTGCAGGGTGTACTTTCTGGTTCTCTCTAGAGATGAACAGTGCATGTCACTGTAATAGAAACTCGGCAAGTGGTGGAGAGAAGAAACCTACGTGGCTTTTTTTTTTTTTTTTAATATTTTATTGTGTTTTTTTAGTGAAGGTTTACACAGCAGATTAGGTTCCCATTCAACGATTTCTGCACGTTGTTCACTGACGTTGGTTACATTCTTCACAGTGCGTGAAAATTCTCATTTTTTCCATTCTGGGTGTTCCTTTGCTACCTAGCTTTTTAAACTTGGTGTTTTCCAAACTCATTTGACTATATAGGGAGCCCTGGTGGCGCAGTGGTTAAGCACTCAGCTACTAACCAAAAAGTCAGCGGTTTTGAACCCACCAGCTGCTCTGCAAGAGAAAGATGTGGCAGTCTACTTCCGTAAAGATTACAGCCTTGGAAACTCTACAAGGCAGTTCTGCTCTGTCCTCTAGGGTTGCTATGAGTCGGAATCAACTCGACGGCAATGGGTTTGGTTTGATTTTAATAGCACCTCTATGAGGCTGTGATGAGGCTTTAATGCATTATTAACGTGTGAAGCACTTAGAACAGTGCCTGGCACAGACTGAGCTCCATGAAGGAGCTGCTATAATTATATTTGTTAAGTGCCTTTTCATGTTTGTGGACTCTCCCAGAGCATTTACCCATTCCTCTGTTGATGGACATTTATTTCCAGTTGGACATTGGTAGGGACAGAGCTGCAGTAAATCCTCATACAGATATCCTTGTGCAGATATTTCTGTGAGAGAGATTCTTAGAAGTAGAATCGCTGAGTCAAAGGAGATGCACATTCGAAAATTGGGTAGACCCGTCAAAATTACCCTTCAGAATCTGACCAGCCATTATCTAACAGATGATTTGTCTAACAGAGGGATAAGCTATCTTCCCATACCCCATGTGTGTTGGGATCCTTCTCTCCTCTTCCTCCTCTTCACTGTAACTGAAAATGGAATGGAACATAACTGAAAGTCACCTCTTCTCTGTCTTGCAGAGTCTGGCCACCGATAAGGGACCAAAATGACTGACTCAAAATATTTCACCACCACCAAGAAAGGTACTGTTTGTTTCTTTGTGAGGCCTTGGCCAACTTGTTTCCTGCCTGCTCCTTCTGCCTATCCACTATGGAGGCAAGGGAGGGTGGTGAGGGGTAGAGGCACAGCATGGAAGTGGGTGGTGGGAATTCCCCAGAGCTTCTTTACCTTGTAGATCAGAAAAAATTTAGCTGTTGGTGGTGTTAGAAATTGACCACTCTTATTAGAACTCAAGAAGGGAGGAAGAGCATTAGCTCTAAGTATGGAAAAAAAGGCCCCCCTCCCTTTTCCCCCATGGCTTACAATTGTTAAACATGGTGTGTTTGTTTCCTGGGAGAAGGAAAGCAAAGATAATCCTATCAGTAGCCCCACAGTAGTTGGGGTGTGTTTGTGCTTAGTCCTTATCCATGAGCACATGTTTGACGTGGTTGCAGTCAACATTTACATCCTGGTTTTCATTTGACATTATCACAGACATTTCCCCACAGTTCTGATGACTTACCATTAGGCTATTGAGTTACTGAACTGAAATTTGCTAAGCTAGTCTTATGTTGTTGAGTATTTTGGGCTTTTCCGTTTTTAGGGAAATTGAAGATATTGTAGTGGCTGACAATGTGCTTCAAACCTGTAAGCATCTTTCTGACCAGCCCTTCCTTCCTCCCTCCTTCCTTCCAAGTGAGATTAACATGTACCTGCTGACCAAGTCAAGAGTCTGTTGTTAGATCTGCTGAGCCAGGACCTGACATCTGCCCTTCATCGGGCATTTCATGTATTTGTCCAGCAAGTTGCTACTGAGCACCTACTACATGCAGTGGAGAAGACAGATGAAGTCTCTGACCTAGGTGTTGGGTGCTGTGATGAGGGAAGTTCAGGGAGCTGTTGGAGGGCTGGGGGAGCTGGCCACATGAGGGTGGTGCAGGTAAGGATGCCCGTGACACATTCAGGGAAAGGAAGATCATTGAGCAGGAGTGAGTGAGGAGAGGAATGAAAGAAGAGGTTTACAGGAACTAGGTCAGGTATGGCCTGGTGAGCCAGGCCAGAGGGGTGAACTGAGTGCTGAATATATTGGGGTATCAGTGGGGTTTTTGTGGGGTCCATTTTAGGGGGAAGGAGCCCTGGTGGCACGGTGGTTAAAGCACTTGGCTGCTAACCGAAAGGTAGGTGGTTCAAATCCACCAGCTACTCCATGGGAGAAAGATGTGGCAATCTGCTTCCGTAAAGATTTATATCCTTGGAAACTCTGTGGGGCAGTTCTACCCTGTCCTATAGAGTTGCTATGAATTGGAATCAACTCAATGGCAATGGGTGTGGTTTTGGTTTATTTTGAGGGGAAGGAATCCTGGTTGCACAGTGGTTAAGCGCTTGGCTGCTAACCAAAAGGTCAGTGGTTTGAACCCACCAGCCACTCCATGGGAGAAAGATGTGGCAGTCTTCTTCCATGAAGATTACAGTTTAATCTTCCATGAAAATTAAACCGTATGTGTAAGTTCTACTTTGTCCCTATAAGGTCACTATGAGTCAGAATCAATAGCAATGGATTTCATTTTTGTTTTTGTTTTGTTTTGTGGGGGGAGGTGTCTGGAAAGAGATGCCCAAGTTCTTCTGTTGAATCTGACATCAGTGATGGTTTTAAGTGAGGGAAGGTCCAAGGCAGACTAATGATAGTTGGGTAAGTAAAACTGGAGAGAGGCAGGGAGACCAGTACCACAGCTCAGATGGGGGATGATGGTGCCTGAACTAGGGGGGCAGCACTGGGAGTAGAGAGAATTGAATGCCTCGAGAGTGATTCGAGAGGTAGGATTGGCGACAGACTGGATTTGGGGGCCATTAGAGGAAGGAGGTATTTCAGAAGCAGGCAGACCCCAAGTTCACCCACCACCTTTCTTGGAGCTGAGGTGACTCAGGCCTGTACCCTTCAGTTGATGGGTCTTTGTCTGACCAAACGCTTTGCAGAGGCAGCCCTGCTGTGGGGTCCAGGGTCAAGGTCATCATGGTTTGTTGCATCCCAGAGCAGGGAGACATGGGCTCCTCAGTGTCTTGAGAAAGAAGGGAGTGTGTCCCTTCAGCCCTGCAGGGCCATGAATTTGAGCTGCAAAGTCTACAGATTACTGCTGGCTTCATTGAGCAGTATCCTCAGTGTGGCCTTGCCCCCAGTTGTGCTGAGTGATTGATCTTAATTAACCTTGTTTGCTGTCTCTGTCTCAAGTTCTTTGTAAACCTCACATTGTTCTGCTCAGTCATGATAAAAACCTACGTGTTCTCCTTTTCTCACTGTAAATTCACCTAGAACTTCCTCAGCACTTCCCACACTGTGATAGTTACTGCATCACCCCCACCCCGACTAACTAAAGAGGGAAGCCCAGGGCTCTCAGGCTGCAGAAGAGGACATGATGACTGAATCATCATAGCGGCCACCATCAGTGCAGGCCCACTGAGTGCCAGGCACTAAGTTGAGAGTTTCACGTGTGAGGATCAATTGAGATAATTCAACACCTCGGTAAAGGCAGAGAGTACAGACAAGAAAATAGGTGCAGAGAAGCAAATTGAGTTGTCTTGGGCAGGCCAGAGCATAGTGATTTAGAATACTGGCTTTGGAGCTGGCTGAGCTGGTTTTGAATCTTGGCCCTCCACCTACTCACTATATGGTATAATCAGCAGGTTACTGAATCTTGTAAAGCCCCCATTTGCTCGTGCGTATAATGGGGAAAACGCAGCATTGTGAGAATAAAGTGAGAAAATCTGTGGGAAGAAGTTAATGTGGTGCCTGGCTTTGAGAAGGGCTCAGGAAATGTTGCTGCTGTTGTTTTGAGCCTGGGAGGCCTGCCTGACTCCAGAGTCTGCCCTCTTATCCATTATGGGGGTCCTGACTACCTCTCAGTGGCAGGCCCCTGAATAACCCTACTTCCGCATTGGCTTTTTCCAGATCACCAAGTTCTTAAAAGTCTGTTACGTGCTAGAGCCCTAGTGAGACAGCTGAATTCCCATCTTCAGAGCCTGAGCAATCACTGTGGTTCAGGAAGTGAAACCCTGAGCAAGCGGTTTTAATTGGATGTTCTAGGAAAACAGGAAGAGTCTTTATGTAAGAATCAATCAAATCTGCCCTCCCTCCTCAAACTTAAGTTCCCAGATTCTGTTCACACTCAGCCTTGAAGGCCTTCGGTGGTGAGGAGCTGAGGAGAACTTGTGTTTTGTCTTAGCATTTTTAGCAGTCTAGCTGAGCAGGACCTGCCTTCGTGCTTTTTGTCTCCTGCAGAACCTTTGTAGCTCTTACAGTTCCTCTCTCCCCGATCCGACGTGGCCTCCAAGCTTGCATCTTGATGATTCCTCTCCTAGCAGTGTTCTGGTCCTTTCACGCTCTGTCCCACCTGAGAGCAGGGGCCTAGAGCTGCCCTCAACTGGCAGCACAGGGTGTCTTACTTGCCTCCTTCCAGTTTCTTCAGAAGTTGGGGGTGGCGATTATCCCCTGGCAGGATAAGGATGGATCGCTCATGACTGCCTCCTTTTCTTAGGGGAGATCTTCGAGCTGAAAGCAGAGCTCAACAGTGACAAGAAGGAGAAGAAGAAGGAGGCGGTGAAAAAAGTGATTGCGTCAATGACCGTGGGCAAAGACGTCAGGTGTGCAGGAGTGGGCTGGGTGGCAGCTGGAGGCCAGCTGACAGGGATGGTTGGTAACTTGGGTTCAGTACAGATCTCCTCTCCTTCAGAGTGTCTGTAGGGACCCCACTTCTCCCCTCGTGTACTTCCCTCCCTGAGCCTCCTTTCCAAATAGAAGGTTTTGTTCACGTAGGGGTTACAAGCTCAAATGCTGATGGGGTCAGGCAGTAATGGGAGCAGGTGAAGTGGACCAGGTCACAAGGCAGCAGGCGATGGAGAGGATGTGGTATAAACCTGTTAGAAACTCCAGAGGATTGCTGCATGCCAAGAAGGTGAATCCAGTGTGGCCGGGTCTTCTGGTTTTTAAAAAGACCTGGAACTCTGGAGTTTAACATTTTTAATCTCTATTTTAAAATGCCAGCCAATATTAAACAAACAAGCAAACAAACACCTTGAAGTCCAAGTAAAACACATGCAGATTGGCTTTGTTGAATTCGCTGCCAGTTTGCAACCTCTGGTTTGCATCTAATTGCTGGAGCAGATCGTGTGTAGAATTGCTGCCACACCTTTGCTCAGGCTTTCCCCTGCTTAGAACGCCCTTTCCCCTTTGCCGTTTACCCAGCTCATTTTCCTGTCTTTTAAAACCCATTCAAGGTCCACCTTCTCCTGTTTGCTGTTGTTGTCACCCCACCCACATGTACCTCTTACTGGTCTGGACTTGCAGCACTTGTCTCTGTCACCCAGCTCTAATTCTAGACTGCACTGTATGAGGAAGTACAGTGAAACCTGTGAGAACTAGAACTCGGCAGGATTGCCTTGTCTTTCCAGGTCTCACATGTTTTCCACCTTTGACAGGGAGCAGTTTTATCACTTTTCTATTGCTCTCTGTTAGTGGAAAATAATTGAGTTTTCCTTCTCTCACAGGTTCCCACCTTACCCAAGTTCTGGCTTTGGCAGGTTTTGCTGTATCTTCTCATGTGTAGTACTTGTGTTTACCTGCCCACTGGATCATAAAGTCCCCAAAGGCAGGGGCTGGATTTTATGACAACTTACATTTGCAATGTTTGAGAGTCTACAGAACTTTCAGATATGTTTTCTCAGTAGTTTCTTATGATTCCCATATTGTAGGTAATGGTATTTTTACTACTAAAGAAACAAGCTAAAGAAGGAGTAAAATGATTGCCCAAAGGCCATATGGTTAATGGCAAAACGAGGACTGAAGCCCAGCACTTCTGAAATCTCAGATCCAAGGTGCCTATCCTGTCCCCTCTGTACCCTCATGGTGTCCAGCCCCATGTTCATGGGCTTGTGTGTGGACATGGAGCAGCATCCCCATCTGAGTCCTGCACAGTTACACTGATCCCACCCAGTTGTCCATAGATTTCCCTATCCCATTGCCAGCCTCAGCAAGGGACCTCCAGGTGAGCAGAGGAGAGAAAGCTAGGCACAGATACCTACTGCAGACAGAGCGGCAAGAGGCTTGGGCCTCTGTCCAAATCACATTACTCCTAGGACAAAGCCACACTCCTTTAACTAGAACACTGGTGTCACTTCCTCACAGAGGAAACATCTTTGTTCTTCCATCTGAAATGAGCTTGTTTTGCTGATGTGACGGGCACAAAAGAGCAAGTCAGGCTCCTCAGTGGTTCTTCCTCCTCTCTTCTTTACTCCCCTTTCTTCCTGGTGTACCGTCTTTCAAGTTGATACATCAATTTCAGCTTCAGCTATACTCTTGCCTGCTGGAACTTGGCCATGGTGGCCCCCATCCTGCTCAGGAAATTCACCTTGACCTCTTAAGTCTCTGTGTTACTATGTCCCTGCCCATAAAAGCCCAAGAATTAAGGAGAGATGATGCTTCCAGAGGTAGAAAATAGATCTCTAACCATATTTCAAATCTCGACAGGGCCTTTGACTCTGAGACCATTGAATGCCATATTGGGAAGGGTTCCACCCAGGCTTTGGTGTCAGACCTGGCTCCTCAGGCAGGTTGTTATATGTTTGTGAGCCTCAGAGTTCTCTTGTGTAACATGGGGCTAATCCCCTGGCCTCTCAGGGTCGTTAAATGAGCTCAGGTATGTAGATGCATGAAGCCTGGCCTATAGTGCATGCTTCACACATGCTCGTGCTGGGAAGAGTGGGTACAGAGCCAGCCCTTGTGGTGAAAGCAGCACAGACCCATCCCTGCTTCCCTGTGCACCCTCTGGAGCCAGCAGCCCAACATAAGTGGGCCACGTGAAGTACCAGGGAGGAGAAAAGAATCGTTTTCATTTGCTCAGCACCTCCCAGACGTCAGGACCAGATTGCTTAAGTTGTCTCATTTAATTATCACAAGGGCCTATAAAGTGGGTTTTTGTGGCACCCTTCTTACAAATGAGGAAACTAAGACTTGGGATAAAGGAATTTTCCTAATGTCATATAGCTGGCAAGAGGCAGAGCTGGGGCTGGAGCCAGGGCTGTCGGGCTCCAGAGCTCGTATTTGAACCCTGTGAAAAGAGCAAAGGAATTTGTTTTTAGAATCACCTCTTTGGAGTTTCGTTTCTATCAATAGGTGTTTGTGGTAACAGAGCATAGCTGATGCCTTCCTTTTTACTAGGAATTCCTGTTTATCTTTTTCCTTCCCTCTTATCTGCTGCTCCCTTCTTGTACAAAATTATCTTCCTGAAAAATCTCTCTCGCTGACACCACTTTGACCTTTTAGTGCCCTCTTCCCCGATGTGGTGAACTGTATGCAGACGGACAACCTAGAGCTGAAGAAGCTGGTGTACCTATACTTGATGAACTATGCCAAGAGTCAGCCGGACATGGCCATTATGGCCGTCAACACCTTTGTGAAGGTGAGGGGGAATTTGGTGGGAGGAGGCACAGGGTGCTCACTACTCCACCTTCCCCTGTCTCCTGGCGGTGGAGCAGCTGTGGCCCTTGGTAGAAGCACTCAGGCTTCCTTCCAGGCCCTTCGACCGTCTCCCCCTGCTAAGCCCAGGGCCTCTTCCTCCAGTAGTGTACCCCATTCTCTCCAGAAAATCAGATGCTTACCCCATGCCATGTGAGGTCACACCAAGCCTGATGACTCCCCTAACGCCTGTGGGAGTGGAGCCTTGCCCTGCATTCTTTGTGTTCCCCTTATAAACTTTGCTCCCTTCCACATTTTCTGTCTTCCAGACTGAGGCAGGTAGGATCTTGAATCATTAGCTCTGTGCACCTTTCCAACCCTAGCTCCACCAGTCTTGCTGATGCTCAGAGATGGGAAAGTGAGGGCTCCTGTGGCCCAGTGGGAAGATTGCGGGTTGTGGTGCTGGATGGATGTGGATTTGAGCAGTGGCTCTGCTCTGTGAATTTGGACAAGATCCCAGCCTTCCTAGAGCATCAGCTTCCTCATCAGTACAGCAGGACCAGTGTTGTGTATCTGTAGTGAGGGTTAAAGGAGAGAATGGGCAAAGCCCCTGGCACAGTGTCTGGCAAATGCAAGGTGACCATTATAGGCATTTACTTTTCATACTGTTGCTGCAGTTGATGGGAGATTCCACAGCAGTTGTCTGATGTTGGTCAGTCCGGCTGGGCTCAGAGCTCCTAATGTGAGCAGGCCAGGGAGAATCTGAAGCCACACATGTTCATCCTGCCCCCAACCAATGGTTGGTTCCCCTCAGGACTGTGAGGACCCCAACCCCCTGATCCGAGCCCTGGCTGTGCGGACCATGGGCTGCATCCGCGTTGACAAGATCACAGAGTACCTGTGCGAGCCCCTCCGAAAGTGCCTGAAGGACGAGGATCCCTATGTGCGCAAGACAGCAGCTGTGTGTGTGGCCAAGCTTCACGATATTAATGCCCAGTTGGTGGAGGACCAGGGCTTCCTGGACACCCTGAAAGACCTCATCTCTGACTCTAACCCCATGGTAAGCCCCCAGCACACCCATCGTGCCACCTCCTCCACCTCCTGGGTTGCTTTGGGAGACTTTGACTTGACCTTCTGCCAGGAGGTTCTCCAGTTCCTGGAAGTCAGACCCCTCCTAGGTGGGTTCGCTGTACTTGCGCCTTGCAGTGGAATGAGCTAGACATGGATTCCCTTCTCTGCGTCATCTCTAACTCACTGCATGACCTTTCAGGGCTGTCTTTTCCCCATCAGTAAGATGGATCTCATTCTTCGTGACTGGCAGGATTGCTGTGAGGCTTAGACCTGTGAAGGTAAAGGGCCCAGTATGGCCTGGCCCTTAGTGGGTGTGCAGTCAAGACTAGTGCCCTCCTCTCTCCCCTTCCAGTCATGGTCATTATCACTGTCTTCTCACCAAGACCATCGGCTCTGAACAGGAGGTGCTTTTCCCTTTGCTCACGTCTTGCAGCGTTGTAAAGAATCACCCTTAAAGTAGTATAGCCTGGAAGACAGGGCCCTGGGATGTGGCTGGGTGGGCATACCAGTGTACTCACACACAGTGCTGGCAGCATTTTGGAAGGCAGTTTGGCAAGGCTTGTTAAAAATGAAATGCACAAGCCCCTCAACCCAATCGTTCCCACTTGATGTTCTACAGACATGCTGATCCCATGTGGACACGAGTGGCCAGGACAAGGATGGGCGTTGTAGCACTTTGTCATGACGAAAAGTGGAAACAATGCTGAACACAAGTAAAAACTGCCACTCAAGTGAAAATGGATTGAGGGCCCAGAGGTTCACCTGGCAAACCCCTCTGCCCTCCAGCCCCCATCCACAGCCAGCAGCCCTAAGGGGCTCACAGAAATCGTCTACTTCTGAGAAGCATGCTTTGACAAACGCTGAAATGAGCTGTTGTAGCTGGTAGATGGATGAATTCGGCTGTGTTAGGTAGTTGGGAATGCTTTCTATTGCTGGCACTTGGAGCTAGATCTCACTTGTTTTTGTTCTGCTTCTTTTTCTTAAATGGTAGGTACAGTTAGTTATTTTAGTCCTAATTTACGAAGGAGTCTATAGGGTGAGTGCTAGGAGTGGGTGTCAGGGATGCTCCAGACCCTGCCCATCAATCATGTTCCCTTCAAGATGTGTGCCTTCTGGCCAGCCAGCATGAGGGGTGGGGTGAGCATTAGCCCCACTGCTCCTGGCCTGTGAGCGGTGCCCTAGCCTCTGCCTCTTCCACCCCTCTCACCCAGGTGGTGGCAAATGCAGTGGCTGCCCTCTCAGAGATCGCCGAGTCTCACCCCAGTAGCAACTTGCTCGACTTGAACCCGCAATCCATTAACAAGCTGCTGACTGCCCTGAACGAGTGCACCGAGTGGGGCCAGATCTTCATCCTGGACTGCCTGGCCAACTACACGCCCAAGGACGACCGTGAGGCCCAAAGGTGAGCAGGCTGCCCCTGGCTCACCAGCCCAGTGTGGCCTGGTCCTCAGGAAGCTCTGACAACGGGCTGGTCTTCGGGCCTCTAGTGGGTCCTTTCCAGGCCTTTCTGCACAAGCCACGCTCATACGCATCTCAAGGGAGGCCTGTAGCTTCTCAGCTCTCCAGAGCCATACTGTCAGCAGCATGCATATTGTTTCAGGCAGTCAGCTTACTACTCGCTGTGGGCACTTATAGAAGCCAGGGCTTCTGGAGCTGACGGAGACCCCAGTCACCTCAGGCTAACTAAAGATTGGTAGCATCAAAGCCACTGTTTATTGACTTCTCACTGAAGAGTCAACCTGAGGCTCTGCTGGGTATTTTCCATGCATTAGATGATCCCTAAAGCCACTCTGAAGAAGGTCCCATCATCATTCCTCACTTTACAGAGAAGGATACCACTTAGAGAGGTGGAGGGAATTGTGCAAGGTTACCAACTGGGACTCAACTGACTATTGATCTTATCCAATGTGCTAGCCTGCCCCTTTTGAACACCCTAGCAGTAGGGAGAGGGAGGAGTTGGCATTTAGAGTGGATTCACTACATGCCAGGCACTGTGCTGGTGCTTTTTTTTTTTTCATGGCGACCCATGTGTTACTGAGTAGAACTGCTCCATAGGTTTTTTTTGTAATTTTATTTTTTTGTTGTTGAGAATATATATACACAGGAAAACATACACCAATTCAACTGTTTGTACATGTACAATTCAGTGACATTGATTACATTCTTCAAGTTGTACAACCATTCTCACCCTTCTTTTCTGAGTTGTTCCTCCCACGTTAACATAAACTCACTGCCCCTAAGGTTCCTGTCTAAACTTTTGAGTTGATTTTGTCACTTTGATCCCATATAGATAGTTTTTAAAAGAGAGTAATGCTCAAGCCAGGCATGTTTTATTAATTAAGCTATAATACTGTTTGGTTTGAAGAAGGCTTCAGGGGATAGTTTTGGTTTAAGTTTTAAAGATTTTATTAGGGCAGTAGTTTCAGGGGTTCATCCAGCCCCCTTGGCTCCAGAAAGTCTGGAGTTCATGAGAATTTGAAATTCTGTTCTGCATTTTCCCCCTTTTGATCAGGATTCTTATATAAAATTTTTGATCAAAATGTTCAGTAATGGTAGTTGGGCAACATCCAGTTTCTCTGGTCTCATGGCAAAGGAGGCAGTTGTTCATGGAGGTAGTTAGCCACACATTCCATATCTTCCTCCTATTGCTAACTCTCCTTCTTTCTCTGTTGCTCCAGGCACATAGAGACTAATTGCCCTTCCTTGGATGGCCGCTTTGTGCTGGTTGCTTTATACAAATTATCTCATTTAATCTTCAACAACCTTGTGAAGCAGGCAGCATCCTCCCCATTTTGCAGATGAGGGAACTGAGGCTCAGACAAGTTGTAACTTGCTTGCTGTCACTTAGTAGGCAGCAGAACCGGGATCTAGACTTCCTCCTGCAGAAGATATGATACTTTGATAACTAAAAGCAGGGTGTTTTCCCTTGTTTGTCCCTCCTGTTTGCCCCATTGGAATGGATCCCAGCATCTGCGAGCGGGTCACCCCTAGACTATCTCACGCCAACTCTGCTGTAGTGCTGTCTGCTGTGAAGGTGCTGATGAAGTTCATGGAGATGTTGTCTAAGGACCTGGACTACTATGGCACACTGCTGAAGAAGCTGGCCCCACCCCTGGTCACACTGCTGTCGGCTGAGCCTGAGCTGCAGTACGTGGCCCTACGTAACATCAACCTCATCGTGCAGAAAAGGTAACGGGCCTCCCACACACACCTGCAGTGTGCCCTCGTTGGGAGTTTTTTCTGTGGGAACAGTGACTGCTAAAGGGAAACTGACCTGTCACCGGGCTGAACATGTTGAAGAATAGCTTAATCCATTGGTTTTCAGCTGGGGCAGTTTGGGCCCCCAGGGACATTTGGCAATGTCTAGAGATACTTTTTGTTGTCACAACTTAGGGGGAGGAGGGACTGCTGGCATCTAGGGATGCTGCTCAACATTCCTACCGTGCACAGGACAGCCCCCACCACAAAGAGTTCTTTGGCCCAAAATGTCAGTAGTGCCAAGGTTGAGAAACCCTGGCTTAACCAGGTAGCAGGCTAGGTAAAGGCTCAAGTCGAGGTTCTTAACTATGGACAGCAAATGGCTGGCAAGTCTACCGACCCCTCCTGGAATGGTGTGTGAAATTCTTTTTGTGTGTGCATGTTTTCTGGGGACAGAGTCCATAGCTCCAGTCCAATTCCCTGAGGCTGGAGGACTCCAGGATGGTGAAGAACCCTTGGACTTTGCATCAGCCTTGGGCATGGGGGAGGGGTAGATCCAGAGTGTTGTGCAGCCCCTTCCCTCCTCCCCACGAGAGGGACTGCAGTAGTAAGCCACTGTTCCTATGGGAAGGGCCTCATTGGGAGGAGGGGGAGAATACAGGCAGTAAAGAGCAGAGCAGCACTGGTTCTGAGGGGCCCAGAGCAGGATGGCTTCCTTGGAATGGTCACCTCCTTTCCTCTAAGGCAGTGAGTGAGCCGTGCAGCTCTGTGGAATGAGATTGGACTCCTGAGTTCTGCCCCATTCTGTCCCATCCTATATGGTAAGATGACTCACTCAGCAACTAACTATTGAGCATCCATACTTTACAGCAGGCCCTGTTGCTGGGAGCAGGGATACACAAAAACAGGAACCTCTTCTAGTCATTCTGTCTTGGAAGAACACATGCTTCTTGTCATTATAGTATACTCTTGGGGGCCTAGAGACACCAGGTGAATAGGGACATTTAGCGGGTAAATATGGGAAAGCTTTCTGAATGCCTAAGCAATGGGATTAGGCTAGGGATTCAAAGTTGCAGTATGGGGCTTTGCACACCAGTGCCCTTGGTCACCGGCCTTAGTAAGCTGTAGTGACCTGAAGATCCAGATCAAGGGGAAACGGCATCCTGTGCTATATTTGACACAGTAAATCTCATTAGAAGTTGTCCATGTCACCGAGGCACTGCTTGGTCCAGTCCTGACATGTGGTCGGGCAGCTTTTACCAAGTGCTGATTGCAGAAATCCCGTCTTCCTGCTGCACAGCTCAGGTTCTTGCCTCCCCAACAGGGCACACCAAAGACTCCTGGCTTTGCCAGGACCTCCCCGCCGCTGGCACAGTAGTAGCACTGAGTACCAGGGTACCTCCTTCCCCTCTGCCGTGTCTTCTCCCTTCCGTGCTGTCTGTCCTCATTCCGTCTCCTTCCTCCTCTTTTTTCTGGAAGGGGCATAGGAGCATGGTGACTTGTCTTGCCCACTTCCTTGTTAGCATTAGCTGTGTGACCTTATGCAACCCTCTCAACCTCTCTGAGGTTTCCTCATCCGAGGAAAAGAGGCAGGTGGTGCCAGTTGTGGCTTGGAGGACAGGAGCAGTGGGACACGTGAAGGAGCTCTGCAGTGGTAGCACCTGTGTAGCAAGCGCCTTTCTGAGGCAGGCATCGTGCTGAATGCTTCATGTTTATAACAATAGCCCTACTGTATAGGAGCTGTGTCAGGGGCCCCGAAGACCACCCCACCTTCAGAAATTTGCTACAAGGACTCATGGATTCAGCATATAGCTGTACTCGTGACTACAATCTGTTACAGTAACATAGTAAGGATACATGGGCAGATCATAGGGAAAAGACATAGGCAGAGTCTAGAAGAATCCATACACAGACATCCTGTGCTCTCCCCTCCCACAGAGGTCACACAGAGCACTCTTCCCCCAGCAGCGAAGTGCTGCAACATGTGTGCCATGTTTCTGCTCAGGGAAGCCCATTTGAGACTCAGTGCCCAAGGGTTTTTGGGAGATGGTCACATGGACGTTCTCTGCCCGGCACATAGCAAGATTCCAGACTCCCAGCAGGAAAGCAGGTGTTCAGTGTAAACCATCTTGATTGTACAGTCTAAGCACAGTTACCCACCCTTATCAGTTAGGGAACAGTGGGAATGCTCCCAGAATTCAGACCTTTCTAAGGATAGCAGGCTCTTTTCTGCATAGTGTCATTCCCATTTCATAGGTGTGAAAACAGAGGCCTGAGGTCCCAGCTGGGAATGGAGCCGAGGTCTGTCTGATTCCCAAGCCTTTGCCCCTGGTGCCTGTTGCCTCCCGAATGTGAACTGCCCCTTGTTTGCACTCCCTCTTCCCTTTGTGTGATGTGGTTGGACACGCAGTGGTCACTCACAGTCTTGCTTAGGCAGGTCAGTGGGCCCTCAGGAGTGTGCAGCTCTGGCTGTGACTCTGCCTTCACAATGTCAGGCTCCACCTCAGGCCCCAGGAAAAGTGTCCCAGCAAATGTGGAGGTGTTTTCCCACAGGCTTATGCCTTGCTTCTTGCTTTCTGGGCGACCCTGCCCCACCACCAGGCCTGAGATCCTGAAGCACGAGATGAAGGTTTTCTTTGTGAAGTACAATGACCCCATCTACGTGAAGCTGGAGAAGCTAGACATCATGATCCGCCTAGCCTCCCAAGCCAACATCGCCCAGGTCAGCAACGTGGTGGTTGGGGGCACGGGTTTAGTGTCAGCCAGGTTCAGCAGGAGCGAGCTGTGGTCTCTGGGTAGCTGCCTGTCTCACTGTTATGGTCCCTTCTCATAAAGAGTGCTTACCACAGGACACGGAGCCTGTGAGCACTCAACAAATGTTACCTGATGTTTTTGTTACTAAAGAATTTTGTCTCATTATTATCTGTCATCCACCCATTTGAAAAGTGGTAGTTAGGTTGATGTATCAGCTAGATCAACTAAACAAAGGTTGTTCTGGCCCTGCCAACTAACTGATCCTTCCCTGCTTCCTACTGTGGACACCTGACAGCTCTCTCCCTCCCCTTGGGCCTTCCATCTTGATCAGAAGGCAGAACCCCGTCCTTCTAGGGGTCTGTGCGTACCCGCTGCCCAGGCGTGTTGCAAGAGGTTGCCCCACCAGCCCTTCCCCCAAGCCCCCTCTTCTCTGTTTGGGCCCCAGGTGTTGGCGGAGCTGAAAGAGTATGCAACAGAGGTGGACGTGGACTTTGTACGGAAGGCTGTGCGAGCCATCGGCCGCTGTGCCATCAAGGTGGAGGTGAGGCCCTGGGGCTCTGCTTCAGCCGCGGGAGGGAGGGAGGGAGGGAGGGAGCCGAAACCAAGAGACCATCTGATTCTAGCAGAATCTGCCATCCGCCCATGACCAGGAAGCCCTGAGGGTCACTCCCAGAGCCCACAAGGCACCTGCCGTGCAGATTTGGTTGGGTTCCTCCTTGCTCTATAATCTCCTTTAGGCCTTCCATCTGCTGTAGATTAAATTAACCCATCATCGTGGGTTCTCCTGCAGCGTTAGCTGAGACCATGGGACAGCCACAAGCAGGTAGTAGCCCTGGTAGACTTAGCTTTCACTTCAGGGAGCTCTCCAGCAAGAGCTCTGCCTGGTGAATGTTTTGGCATGTGTCATGCATGAATCAGCTGACCATGTTCCCCTTTCCTCCAAGTTCCCTGGGGCCGCTCCATACCCATGTCCCGGCATTTCATCCTCTCCCATTCTCTGCCTTTGGGGTGGTTCCTTGACCCCTGAGCCAGACTCTCCTTAAACCAGTCCACTGGTGGCTAGAGGGCCTGGGCCGGCTGGTCACCCCCAGGCCCCTGAGGCATTTGCCCTTGGTACCTGTGATGGCAGTCCTGCGGAGTCTCTCTCACCAGTGCAGTAGGTTGGAATGAGAGAGAGAAGGGCTGGCCCCAGGCAGAGACTTCCTAAGTGTTTTGGGTCACAGGAACCTATTTTATGAAGAAGGTAAAAGTGAGGGCGTCAGGCTGGAGTATAGTCACTCCAGAGAACAGCTGGAAAGGCTTGGCCTGGAGGAGCCCCAAAGACTTTCCCTACTCTCAGAAGCTCTGCCTCTGGCCTTCTTAGTCTGGTTCTGTCTCCCTCTGTCCTTGGGACCCAGGGCTATCATTTTGTACTTGTTCTCCCACCTGTTACCTGAGGAGCATGTTCTCCTCCTCTGATAAGGAAAGTGGGCCAGAGTGACTTTGAGCCTTTGACCAAGACATGCTCATCAGAAGTCCTGTTGGAAATGAGGGACAGGGACCCTATCCCCACTCTCCTGCCCTCCTGTCTCCACGCAGCAATCAGCGGAGCGCTGTGTGAGCACACTGCTCGATCTCATCCAGACCAAGGTCAACTACGTGGTCCAGGAAGCCATCGTGGTCATCAAGGACATCTTCCGCAAGTACCCCAACAAGTGCGTGCCCTGCCCCTCCCACGAGAAGAAAATCCAGCTCTGCTTGGGGACAGAGATGGGTGGGGAGGAAAAGGAAGGAGGAACCTCTTCCTTACTTCTCTGCCACAGACAATATTTCCAAAAAAAAAAAAAAGAACTTATTTAATTTCCCCCGAGCTGTTCTTCTGCTCCCTAGGCCAAAATAAGAACTAAAATGTCACATCTAAAACTCACATCCTGTTAACTCACCACTCTCTGGGGGTCTTGAGGGAGCTGCCTGCCTCTCTGGGCTCCTGCTGGGCCTTCCTGGGGTTGCCCTGGCCCCTGCACTGCTCCCGGCCAGCTGTGCCCTGGTCTCCCAGGTATGAGAGCGTGATCGCCACGCTGTGTGAGAACCTGGACTCCCTGGACGAGCCCGAGGCCCGGGCTGCCATGATCTGGATTGTAGGCGAGTATGCTGAGCGCATCGACAACGCTGATGAGCTACTGGAAAGCTTCCTCGAGGGCTTCCACGACGAGAGCACACAGGTGAGCTGTCAAGTGGGGTCCACTCAGGCCAGAGTGTGGGTCTGGCTGGCAGCTCGGCACCACCGGGACTGACCTGCCTGAAACCCTCCCCTCAGCCATTGGGCCTCAGAGCCCTGCCCTCCTGATGCTGCATGGACCACATGGATGGAAAAGTGACAGACAGGCGCGGCCCCTTTTCCTCCTGCACTGCTACATAAGGGGAACATGGGAGGATGGTCTGCAGTGGTGTGCAGACGACAGGCCTGGTAGTCTACTTCTGAAAGGTCTCAGTGTTTAAAACACTATGGAGCAGTTCTCCTCTGCAAACATAGGGTCACCATGAGTTGGAATCGACTCAAAGGCAACTAGCACCAACAACAGACATTGTAGCAGTCCACATTAAGGCAGGCAAAAGTTTCTGGTCTTGTTTTAATTTTCTGTTTACCTTTGGGTAGGTAGTACATGGACTTGATTGGCAATTTTAAAGGTACGAAAAGATATATATAGTAAATAATCTCCCTCCCACCAATTTCCTCAGCCACCCAGTCCTCCCCCACCCCCAAGATTGTTACTGATTTCTTGATGATGCTTCCAGAGATAGTTTAGGAATACATTGGCAGACACACACACATGTCTCTGTGTGTATGTGTACACATATGTATGTATTTCCCTTCCATTTATTTTTAAACATTACTGGCAGCATACTGTACAAATTCAGATTGTCCAACACCTTGCCTTTTTCACTTAAAAATATATCTGAAGGTCATCCCATTATTAATTTATGAAAACCCTTCTTGCTGTTTGATAACTGCGTAGGGTTCTGTCGAGCAAAGGTCCCATGCTGCATTTAACCAGCTTCCCTTGATGGATATTTAGGTGGCCAGTCTTTTGCTCTTTTAAACAGTGTTGCAATGAATAACCTTGTGTAATGCACATATGCAAGCATAGAATGCTTGGGTAAAAGGGCATGCACGTTTGAGATTTTGATAGGTGTTGTCAGATCTCCTTTGGTGTAGAGGTTGTACCAGGAGTCCCTGGGTGGTGCAAGCATTTAAGCCCTGGACTACCAGACGAAGGATTGGTGATTAGAACCCACCCAGAGGCACCTCAGAAGACACGCCTGATCTGCTTCTGAAAGGTCACAGGCTTGAAAACCTTCTGAAGCAGTTCTACCTCGGAACCAACCTCGAGGCACCTCGGAAGACAGGGAAGATCTGCTTCTGAAAGGTCACAGCCTTGAAAACCTTTTGGAGCAGTTCTACTCTGCACACATGGGATTGCCGTAAGTCAGAATTGACTCAACAGCAACAACAACAATAACAATAACAGCAGTTGTACCAGTCCACATCCATCCCAGGGGTGTGAGGTCACCCATGTCCTTACTGCTCTCCAGTCTAGGACATCATCAAGCGTTTTATTTTTGCTCATCTCGTAGATAACAAGGGGTACCACAGTGTAGTTTCATTTCTGTTATAAGTGAGGTTGAGCATCTTTTCATTTGTATTTGCTTTTCTGTGAACTGGTAACTATCTGTTCAAAAATATGGACCTTTAAAAAGTCTATTTGTAATCACAGAAATCTTAGCTGCCAGCACGGGCAGTATAACCTAGTAGGTCAGAGCATGGGCCTTGGAATCTGAGGTCTCAGAGTTCAAACCCCTCTTCTGCCACTTCCTGGCTCTGTGGCTTTAAGCTAATCTCTTTACCTCTCTGAGCCTCAGTTTCCTTTTTTGTAAAATGAGGTGGAAAAGACCCTCCTCCTGTTGTTGTGAATGTTAAATGGGGTGCTTTGTGACTGTCCTTAGCACATGCCCAGCCCACAATGAGCACTTATTAATGGTAATAACTGGTTCTAAAGCAAACTGATCCAGACCCAGAAGAGGACTGACTGGTTTCTGTAAGTGGCAACGCCAGGGAGCACCCCCGTTCCAGCACTCCTGAGTGAGGGTACATGGATAGGGGCATCAGGACTGTCTCTTTGTCCCCAGAGTATCTTCTACCTCAGGCGGACTCCCACAGTAGGGGCCATGAGGTGTCAGCAGTTCCAGGCTATGTCCTCACAGCTTAGCAACTCCTATGGAAAGAGCTTTCCTCTCAGTAGTTCCAACAAAAGTCCCAGGGACTGACTGCATGACCCCCAAGCCAACCACTGTGGCTCTGATCCGCATCTCCACAAATTGAAGGGGCAGAGAGAAGGGCAAGCCTCTAAAGAAAAGCCAGCATTTCTGTTCCCAGAAGTCAGAGTAGATGCTAGCTGGGCAAAAACAAACGACGCCCGTTACAAATAACAATAATCAGTCCCACTAGCATTCCCTCCCACTGCCACCTGCCAGGTCCAGCTGCCAGCCTGCTACTGCTGACTGCACGTTCGTCGCCAGCCTCCTGTCTTGTCCCTGAGAAGCAGAGCCTAGCCCATGGTGGCCTCTGACCCTAGTTGGGTCCTGCCTGGGGTTACACAGAGGATGATCTGGAGGGGGATATGTCTGCCCACATGCGAGTAAATCTTCTGCAGCCTTTCCCCTCAGCTAGGCCTGCTAAAGAGCCAGGGTTAGAGAAGTCAGGTAAGGGAAGCTGAGAAGGAAGCCTGGTGTAGTGAAAGAAACAGGGCTTCTGAAGTTTTGAATGCAGGCTGTTCCTCTGATTGGGTGGCCTTGAGCACATTACCTTAACTCACCAAGCCATTTCCTCATCTTCTAGGACAGGATTATTGCCAAGATTAGTGGATGATGTTAGGGGATGTTGTTTTAATTTTGTTGTTGTTGTTGTAATTAAATGAAGTTTACATTTCAAGTTAGTCTCCCATACAAAA